CTGAAGTTGTAACAAAATAAAAGCACTCCAAACCGCAATAAATTAATAAATGCTTTACCATAATTATATCATAACAAGTAATACCGCTGTCGGGCAATAAGAAAAATGTAACGCTCTGCCAAAATTGTGGCAACGAAATGGCACATCCACTACTTTATACTTGATATCCTTTAGCCATTACAGGCGATTAGTGACCCTTATTACCATTGTGATTAAATCCTCAAATGTCAAGTATATCTCAGAATTGTTGCATTCTAAAGAGTACGGGGAACAATGCATCAGAAGCACTCTTCAATCGGTGTATTTGGACATATGGCATAGAAAATGAGCCTCCAGGAAAATAAAAACACTTCAGATATTCAGGTATCCATACGTAACAATGAAGACAATCGCCTGACAACCTATACAATTGTGAAGATAGAGAATCTGGAGAATCCGATGAAATGAAGGAACCGTTATAATTTAGGGTGGACCTGAAGAAACCGTTATTTAGGGTTGGTTTGAAGATGGTGCTCCTTGTGTTGATGCAGAGACTGATTAATATGGCATATTGTAATGACGTGAGCGCCAATGCAGAGACTCGAATTTATGAGGTAACTTTAGAAAATGAGAGATTCCTGCGGAAATCAGCAGAATCATTCTGCAACACATATTGACCTCCGAAAGCAGAAAATCTGAAGAACTGGATGACGCAAGGAATTCGTCGTATTCGTGGACATATTTGAGGAGAGTATTGGCTTGAATACACTGAGCCCGATATTTTTAACGTGATTAATGCAATGGCCAATGGTTACAATGTATCGATAGGAGCACCAACGAAGACGCTCACATATGTGAGGTACCAAATCAGAAAATGATGGGGTTTCTTGTGACTTAAGAAACTAAATCCGACAGCATACATATACTTTCCGGAAAGTAGAGATTCCGGGAAGTTCAATAGTTCAAATGAATTGGCCACCTGTGATCAGTGTTTTGAGAATTTGCTGATCTCGTTCAGTTTCTTTTCAAAATCAACTATCTGAAATGTTTAGCGATGTGAATGTGTCCACAAATCTGACTGTATCGTAATCGTACGATTTTAATGCATCATAATCATAATGCAAACTTTCATATGTTATTCACCGAACGTCCACTTCCAAAAACTACAGTGTTCCAACAAAACCCTGTAGCATTTTTCTGCAGCACAGATTTCATACTCCACGTGATATGAATGCATATAAATACTTCAAAACTTTCATTTTATAACAGCAACACAACGAAAATATTAACAGCAACAGCAAAGAGCGAGCGACATTTGCAGATCGATTGCTATTTCGAATCATCATCTTTTCAAACAACTAACAAGACATTGTTTGCGTTTTGAAATCCATTATGAATTTTCCAAAAACCAAAGAGAAAAGAAATAATTTGAATAATTCCGAACTCTCCCAAAAAACTTTAGGATAATAAATGAAAGCAAATGGTATTTTACGATCGACTCGGATTGTAGTGGAACATTAAATTAACACTGCAACGGAATGAAATATGCAAGGGAATCGGATGATTTGTAAAGTTTTAGGTGTAAAATGAATCAGTTTAATAGATGAATTCGGTGAACTTTCACGGCGTTATCATTGGCAACTGAAGCCAACTCATAAATATTCTCATTCGTCGATTTCTCACTCTCACACACAGACATCCATTTTCCGGGTTTCGGCCGGAATCTGAAACTCGCAACCTGTCAGCATTTGAACACACTGGAATCAGCCAAAGCAGTGCAGAATCGCAGAACTGAACAACAAACATAAAAACGTTTACCATCAAAGTGACTGACTGAAGTTTTCAGCATAAGTTAAGGAATTCTAAGCTTTGTGGATTTAAAGGATCAATGCAATCCGTAATAAATTTCAACTGTTGACGCTACAATAACTAAATATTAATACTAATAATAATGCAAATGCTATGCATTCCAAATATACTCAAAATGAGCACAGCACTCAATATTATGTTTACATTCCCTATCTGAATTCTAATTCACCTCAATCGTGCGATTGTTTGAGAATGTGCGCGGCATCCATCCAAACTAGCCAAAAGCGAAAGATCTGTTGCCGTTCCGATTGAAGGATTCCAAGCGACCAGTTCAATCTGACCATTCTCAAGACCTATGGCCAAGACGTAACTCCTAAAAGTATAATACCGCTTATTAGAAACCAATCCGGCGATCTATTCCCATGTAACGTCATTATCAAATATCATTATCATTACAAACTTGTAACTATATTGATTACGATTACTGTTGATCTGTTTATCATAATGTACAGTAAAAGTAAAAACGAACTGATTAAGAAGGCAGGGACAGAATGCGATAGCCGTCACAGATTCGGATCGCTTACTTTGTAAAGCGATTTGAACATGGGTCGACTTCTCTTCATTATCATTCGCAGCAACACTCCACAAAGCCACCTGAAATAATTCGCTTACCGGAATTTAACAGCAACATTCAAACCACTGATAATAATCAACATCACCAAATGTATATCATCGAATCATCTCAAAGAGTCATGACTAAGTGATGAACCTTTTTATCACGAGCACCAGTCGCAAAATATCGATCATCACTGCTCCACGAACATGTCCATATAATTCTCGAATGAACACCGTCCGTTTTTGATGATGCTTTCAATAATCGCCAATCGAAAGCGTCTGAAAACAAATCATTCGACGAAAAAACAATGGAATGGAATGTAAACTGAATGAAGTAAACGTGACATGAGTGAAATTTCTCGAAAAATAAATATAAGGAGGTGTATAAAGCATTTGGATGCAGACACAA